TTTTTTTTTTTACCTCAACACTTTTCATGGCATTTTAAAATCAAATTTTTGTGTGGACGTTACAGAAAAACGAAGAACACAGGCACCAGATATGTAATTTTCCTGTTTCTAAGGATACTCAAGCTTTAGAAGTCACTAAACTTTGGCAGCCATTTTCTTGCTAATTTCACCTCTCACACCAGGCTACCCCCACCTCCTTCAATCTCAAATATCTTGACTTCTATTCAAGATAAAGGGGCATTTTTTTGGGCCTAGGGCAAGACATACGAACAAGCTTTAAGATGATACCAATAACTTCACATGCCCATAAACTGACAGGTGCCTGATTCCACCGCGTCTTGACACTTTACTTTTTCATGTCACACAGGATTGTTTTTTTTTTGCTTCTTTCTTTTTTTCTTTCTTTCTTCCATTCTTTCTTTCTTTCCTTCTTTCTTTCTTTCTTTCTTTTATTCTTACTACCTACCTATTCTACCTCCCGTTCTTTCTTTATTCATTTGTTCACACATTTTCTTCGTGTACTAGAAGTCCATTTATTGAAACATTTACCCTTTTGCTCTTGTAATAAATCTGATTTAAGAAAGAATTGCTTTTTGTCAAGTTTTCCACAAACGACATTCATTCAAACACACACACACACGCACACACACACACACACACACACACACACACACACACACACACACACACACATATATTAAATTATATATATATATAAATTATATAATATATACATGTATACCAGGCAGTGTCTACCTCAGGTGTGGGCAAGCTGGTCACTGACTCCGGTACGGGCGGGAAGGGCACAGGTTCTGTGGCGTGCCAGTCTTTGGATGTAGTGGAGGGCATCACCAGCAGGTAGTCGTTGTGTCGGGTTTGGAACTCCACGCCATTCAGGACGGCGATGAACTGTGGGGAGATCACACCACACCAGTTTGTGAAAGGGCAATATTGTGACGATTCGTTGGAGCAATCAATCACGTTTGATATTACATATTATTAATTTTCTGTTGTTGAAATATTCACTTTTTATCTTGTTGAGATGATCAAGCTTTTTGTTGTTGTTGGAATACTCAAATATTCTAACTCTTTTGGATCACCCTGTACTTGAAATTTTCTGTACTTCAGGTAGCTAAATTTTGTGTAGTTGGAATGGTTGTGTTTTCTATAGTTGAAATATCCTAGTATTTGCCCCTTGACACAGTTAAGTGGTTCTTTGGTTGGTGAAATTATACAATATAAGTACTTGAAATAATCAAAACATCCAAAGTTGGAAAACCCAATACTCTACTTGAATTACTCAAGTTGTCTTCTCTTGAAAAACTAACGTTCTCTGTAAAACTGTCAATTTTATATCTTCGATTGGAAATGCTCAAACTATAAATACGAACACACACACACACACACACACACACACACACACACACACACACACACACACACACACACACATACACACGTGTTGATTGCATTACTGTGGTCATGCACGCGCACGCACACGGACACACAGACACATACACACACACACACATACACACACACACATTATATACCTCTCCCATCCCACACGTGTTGATGGCATTACTGTGGTCATGCACAGAGATAAATGACGTCCCCACAAAAGTATTGGCGTGGTAGTTTTTGGTGCCCAGTCTGGAATATCGGACTTGGACGATCCCAGAGTCGCCTTCGGCGCGGATCCTACAACAGATTTTAAGAAATGTGTAGATGAAAATACACTGTCAAAACTGCATAATTAATAACAACATGTATTTGTTAAAAATTCAGACATCTTAACATCTTTCTGGTAAGTCCAGTTAACCTAGTGAGTGGTGTCCATGTTGCTGTTCTTATAATTTGGGAGGCAGCTTGGTGAAATCGGGCGCTCATCAAAACAGGGAAAGCAAAGAAACTGGCACTTTTCTGGACGTCGAACAATTCCTTTGCGAATGTTCTTTTTTTTTTTTACCTCAACACTTTTCATGGCATTTTAAAATCAAATTTTTGTGTGGACGTTACAGAAAAACGAAGAACACAGGCACCAGATATGTAATTTTCCTGTTTCTAAGGATACTCAAGCTTTAGAAGTCACTAAACTTTGGCAGCCATTTTCTTGCTAATTTCACCTCTCACACCAGGCTACCCCCACCTCCTTCAATCTCAAATATCTTGACTTCTATTCAAGATAAAGGGGCATTTTTTTGGGCCTAGGGCAAGACATACGAACAAGCTTTAAGATGATACCAATAACTTCACATGCCCATAAACTGACAGGTGCCTGATTCCACCGCGTCTTGACACTTTACTTTTTCATGTCACACAGGATTGTTTTTTTTTTGCTTCTTTCTTTTTTTCTTTCTTTCTTCCATTCTTTCTTTCTTTCCTTCTTTCTTTCTTTCTTTCTTTTATTCTTACTACCTACCTATTCTACCTCCCGTTCTTTCTTTATTCATTTGTTCACACATTTTCTTCGTGTACTAGAAGTCCATTTATTGAAACATTTACCCTTTTGCTCTTGTAATAAATCTGATTTAAGAAAGAATTGCTTTTTGTCAAGTTTTCCACAAACGACATTCATTCAAACACACACACACACGCACACACACACACACACACACACACACACACACACACTCACACACACACACACACACACAAACCTCTATATAAATCTTACGAGATTTTGTACTTTCAGCAGCAAATGTTTACTTATACTACCACTACTATAACAGAAATAGCAACAGTTCTACTATTACTACAAACATAAAAAGCACTAATAAAAACAATAGTAACAATATCAACAACACAAACAACAGCTGCACCAGCAGCAGCATCATTCCCACCATCACCATCAACATCAATATCTTTATCAATACTACCACCACCACAATACCAACACCACTACTATCTTCCCTAACAACAAAAAGAATAATACCACCATCACCACCACTGCCACCAATACAAATACCACGGCTATCACCATCATCATCAACAACAAAAACAATAAAAACATCATCACCACCACCACAACCACCACCAACAAAAAACACCACCACCACCAACATAACCACCCCCAGCACCACCAACACAACCACCATCACCACCACCACCACCACCACCACCAACAACAACAACAAACACCACTACCACCACCGCAACCACCACCACCACCCCCAACAACAACAACAACAAACGCCACTACCACCACCACAAACAGCAACAACAATAACAACAAGATAATGTGTATTATAATAATGTTCTCCTACCTATCCTCCGACTGGAAGATATTGAGCAGCGTTTGCCTGGTGAGGTCCCGAACCACCAACCTATTGTTTTCATTCTGTTGCTCTAAGCCCTCGAGCGCCTGTTGGAGCCCGCCCAGAGCCCCATCGATGTCTATGTTAGCGATGGAGGGGCTGGTGGAGCCCGACTGGAAGCTTTGCAGCAGCACCACAACCAGAGACAAGATGGCCATTTGCCGCACGCTGCTGCTGCTGCTGCCCTGTGTGTTTGAGTTTGTGTTTGTGTTTGTTTGTGTGTG